TATTTCATCAGGGCAAATTGTTGTATTCCTCATCCATAAGCTGCTTTGAAGAAAAGCATCTGCTAAACTAATGTAAAATCCTATCTACATACGCTCCTAAAAAAACTCTGGCTTGTTTTAAACGGGACCTATTATGCCCCTTTTTACAAGATGTAAAATAAGTCTGTGATGTCCCTAGAGTGTGTTTGGGAAGTTTTAACTTCAAATATTTCGCAGATAATGTTTCATAACTCATTGAAACTGCCCCTTTTAGGCTTTGATCCTAATTGCTTCATTTTGGTGGCTTTCACTTTAAATTCAAATAAGATTGTGCTCTTTTCAGAAGAAGGCGGAGCTATTAATGCCTATGTGTCAGCATAGTGGCAGATTTAAAAACAAGACTGACATCTTACGCTAATATGGGAGAGATCATCATTAATGGGCAAGGTTTCCCCCTATGAGGGCTCAAAATTAACCTTTTTGCTTGGTAGCACCGGTGCTCCTAACTTTAAAAATGTAGGTGCACCCACCAATTATAGGCACATTTACTACACGTTTTATACAAACAGATTTATTGCATTTGAAATCAACACTAATCAAACTAACAAGCAAACAATATATATGCACGCTTGAGGAAAATATGTCTCAACGAAATCCCGTTATCACAAGAAAGTATATTTTTATAACAGAACTGAGTGACCAAAAGTTACACAGAGCGCTCACCAGCCCTGCACACACTGCTTGACATGAATTAATCTGTTAACGATACAACTTTGCTGTTATCACGGGTGGTGTCTGATACTGCACTGATGCTTTTGACATACTGTAAACTGTACCTTAATATATGCATACGCCATGAGTAGCGATGTTAGTTTACTCAGTGCAAGCCCGTTTGCGATGGTGGTTGGATGTTAAATTTTACATATAACTGCCACTTGCACGGCATACAGCATCTGGCGATAAAATCAAGGATTAAACAGAAGCTCTCGTGCTAGATGTGGCAAACAGTTACCTTAAAATTCCATCCCACAGACTGTTCATAGCGGACTTGAAGCCAATGGAAGTCTTTTATCCACTCTTTGAAAAGTGTAGATGGTGGATTAACATTCACCACATGATCACTACTAAGGTGTGTCATTATTTGTAACTTTAGATGGTTTCCAAAACCAAATCTGTCAGTGTTATTTTCGTTCTCGTCTTCAGCGCTTTACATTTTCGCGGTTGTAGCTCTCCCTGTCATCTGAGTGATTGACAACTGATATTAACCAATCATTCGCGTTCAGTTCTAAAGCAGTGGGCCAATAAGAATAGCGCAAAGGGGATTGTGGGATTTGTTTACTGCAGCAAGTTGACATGACGACTGTTTTAAACCATTCCAGGGTGGTGCGTTTTCCGTTTCATGTGCAAAGATGCACTCTGCGTGAATGTCTCCTAAATCTGCGCATATGGTGAACATTTTGCAGTAAAAACTGGTCGCACACAACAATTTTATGCACTCGCACAAATGCTCCCAAATATAGTTTGAGGTCGCATAAACAAAATTTTGGTCACAATTTCGAGCTCTGCCTATGATGACACATACAAAGGGAGAATTTCAATCAAAGTGTGATTATAAAAAATCAAATTTTTTTATCATGATTTTTGCATAATAGGTCCCCTTTAACTTAGGCAAATATGAAGAAACAACAATGGGTTGATTTAAAATAATATTTAACCTATACTTTTTAACCTGATGGTTAAGTTGGTCAATTTTTGACCCAAACTTGAGGTAAAACAATTATTTAGAGTGTAAGTAAAAAAATCTGTCAAATTTACGCTAAATTATTCATTCAATAATTTTCCTTCAGCTTAGTCCCTTTATTCATCAGTGGTCACCACAGCGGAATGATCCACCAACTTATCCGGCATATGTTTTACACAGCGGATGTCTATCCAGCTGCAACCCAGTACTGGAAAACACCCATTATTAGCTTATTCAGTTCACCTATAGCACATGTCTTTGGACTTATGGGGCAAACCTGAGCACCAGGAGGAAACCCACACCAACACAGGGAGAACATACAAACTCCACACAGAAATGCCAACAGGCCCAGCTGGGATTCGAACCAGCAATCTTCTTGCTGTGAAGTGACAGTGCTAACCACTGAGCCACCGTCTCGCCTACAGTAAATTACATTTATTAAAATACCGGTAAATTACCGTATTTCCTTTTTGACATACATCAATGTTTTGAAGTACTAACATCTACACAGCATAACTTTGCTACACAGACAAAAACACAACCATAAGCATGTGTGGATGAGAAAGTGTCATGATGAACCAACGCTCATTACAAACAACGTTTCCCACAAGCAGAGAAACATACTGAGACAGCAGTTTTACGGTTTTGGCTATACCGTATTTTTATCAGTGAAAATCTGGCAACCACAGCTGCCAATTATTTTATACGGTAAAGTCATCCTGGTATGAACACATTCCTGCTCAACATAATCTACACAAATTCAGTAATGAACGCCTGTCTGGAACAGAAAACAATTTCAAGCCTCCTTTATGTGATTCATAAGTGTTTCTGCAGAATTCCAGTATGACATTGGGCTTTTTACAGTAGAGCCAGCTAAAACACTTCTAAAATGCAATGATTAATGTTTGTTCCCATCCAAGAGGTAAAATGAGATTTATAAAAGCGCTCTTAAATGTTGTCTTAAAAGTTCTCATTATATATGATGGAGTAAGCGCTATTGGAGCACACAGCTGTGATGCTGACATTTCATTTGAGAGTCAATAATATTTGAAAATTATTCTTCCAAAGTTGTTCTTACACAAATTGATTGAAAAACACTATTGCTAGGAAGTTTGCATCTATTGACAACGTGGTGCAATCTGTCATCCAGAAATCTGATAAATAGAAATTATAAATTTGCAAATTATAATATTCAAGTTCATAGAATGCATGATTAAATATGAATAATTTGCGTATATCAATATATGTCATATTCCACATATATCTCAAAATATTGCAAAAAATGTATATGTATATCAAATGTATAAAAATGTATATATATATCACCATTGGAATTACAAATATGTACATATGCTTTAAATATAAATACATACATATGCGCAAATTATAACATTGAAGATCATAGTTCAATATTACATTTATATAAATATGCCTCATATGCAACTTATATTTAAAAATATTGCTAAAATTGTCATATTGACACACACACACACATACATACACACACACACACACACACATACATACATATATATATATATATATATATATATATATATATATATATATATATATATATATATATATTTTTTTTTTTTTTTTCCCCATCCATTACAATACAAATAT